GTGCTCCTTCGCTGCACATTAGGGCATCGGTTCAGTACTGACTCGGACCAGAAATGGCCAGCTACTGCTTAACCAGCACTATGATACTCTTGTCAGGTCTCCCATTTAAACAGTAGCCCTGCTCAGGGGGGTAAAAGCTACTAGGAAACACACACAGCTACAAGTCTTGCAGTACCCTAATATCAAGGATGTGAAGAGGGAATTTCTTGGAACTGATTTGGACATAAAGCAGAGCGGGTTTCAGAACCTGCAGTGGTATGTTTTGAAGGAGTAGGTCTCGGAAAGGTCTGCTGTGGGGAGAACACAGCCTGGTTCCGCTGCAGCCCATGCTGCGCTCACTGGTCTTTCTCCCGGTTGCTTTCTTGGGCCTCCTTTGAGTGTCTTATAGTAACTGACACGGCTGATTTCTTTGACTAGAACGTGAATGGGTTAAACCGTGATGGAGGAAGCCAGACTTCTCCTTCTGGGGTGTGACTGTGACTGGATCTGAAAGATAGAAATTAAAAAAGAAGCTTCACACTCTGAGGTGACTTTGGAAGGAAATTAAGCAACCAAGAGAGGACTTCCTGGCACTGGTGTGTTACCTCCCAGCTCACTGCCTCCTTGGTAGGGAAACTATAGGCAGGAAAGAGCCTCTGCACAAACAGGTTTCAGAGGAGCAGCCATGTCAGTCTGTATTCGCAAAAAGAACAGGAGGACTTGTGGCTCCTTAGAGACTAACCCATAGTTATTCATAATGACAGGTTTCAGAGTAACAGCCGTGTTAGTCTGTATTCGCAAAAAGAAAAGGAGTACTTGTGGCACCTTAGAGACTAACCAATTTATTTGAGCATAAGCTTTCGTGAGCTACGGCTACCGATGAAGTGAGCTGTAGCTCACGAAAGCTCATGCTCAAATAAATTGGTTAGTCTCTAAGGTGCCACAAGTCCTCCTTTTCTCACAGTTATTCTCTCGCTGATTTCCACAGTAAAATGTGTTCAGTCTAACTAGGCTCTTTCTACCTACCAACCCTGCAAATACAACCTGGGTCTGTGAACAACTGAAATCAGGTCCTTTCTGTTGCACACCACTGTCAACTGAACTCAAGGTTTCTGGATAATGACCATGGGTGAGGTGGACTAGAACGGAGCTCAATAGTAAGAATGTATTTCTTCCAGTAAACAGAACACATACAGCATGATCAAAAGAAACACCCGGTGCCCTCAACTCCTATAGACATTCATGGAAATTCTAGTTTAGCCTATATAGGTTCTTTTGCTGTGTTGTGAACACTCAGCACTTTGCAGGGTCTGGCCTGTAAGAAGAAGGAAGTATAGGTTCCTGATTTTCCACGGCCTATTTATTTACATGCTTACGTCCAGTCAATCTCTGTTATGCAAAACACTTAAACATCTGCAATGGGGCTGTTTAGAATGATCAAGTTTTGCTGTGGAAATCAGTGAACCTAACAGCTGTGTAAAATGGGTGTAAAAACTCTACCATTCTAGACTCATTTGACAGCATTTTGCACAGGCAGAATTGACTACATGGGGTGCAGGGTGATGGAGAATCAGGTCTCAGCTACTTTTGGAGCGGGGGGGAGGGGGGCGGCTCAAATCCTGCTTGCTTTACTCACTAGACTTCAGTGGCTCTTGTCACAAGGGTTTGGCCCTTGGGCAGTCATGTAACCGTAACCCTGCTATGGAAGATGCTGCAAAGTGGAAGTTACCACAGTAGCCCAAGGCAGGTCTCTTCTCTTGCTTCATTTCCCTCCAACAAAACAAGTTTGTATGGCCAGTTTCCTTTTTTCTCATGGACTACTCAGTTTAGATTGTCATCACACCACAGAGAAGGAGGTTTATGTATGCAAGCAAAGTGGGGGACATAAAAGTCATTAAGATACACAGGGTTTTCAGCTGAATGGAAGATTTTGTGATGGGGGATTTTGGATAAACAAGTTTTTCAGATGAAAGTTGTTTGATTATTATTTTTTTTTAAATTTTGATCTGTTCAGTTTTCCACATCTTTCAGCCTCCCAGCCGTGGCTGCTGGGACTAGACTTGGATGAAATGGACACTTTCTGCTTTTCAGGATTTTGCTCCACTGAAAAAAGATTGTAAACAATGGCATCTAGATACAGAATTGTGTGAGATTGCTGCAGAGCTCCTGAAATGCCATGGAAATGTACGTATGCAAGGCAGACTCAGAGAAATGAACGTGGTGTTCTGGGGTGGGCAGTAAATGGGCAGAGAGCCGCTTGTGGCAGGGAAGTAGAGACTTAGGAGAGATCAGATATTGACATTCACTGCGATGTATGGTGATGAAAAGGGATAGATAAAAACAAGACCAGGGAGATGAGCAATTGGCTGGAGCCAGAGAATGGAAATGATACGGAGCCTTTCAGGGCTAGATCACTGATCAAAGTTAGCTCTGTTCCAATGATAGTTATTGTCTGGTGATTGGCCTTTGTCAAAGGAGGTGATGGCCTCAGTCCAGTCCCAAATGGACAGGCATTTACATCACGGAAAACACCAATTGCCCTGCTGGTTGGCATACTCAGCAAAGAGCCCAAGGGCTGAATAGACCTGAAGACTAAAACTACCCCCTCACCCCTGCCCCGCTGGGGATGGTACAGGAGAAGCTACCCCCTCACTGTCTGTGTTGCATAGAAGCTGTGGATGAGCAAAGAACGTTGCTGTCCAAGGGCGGCCAGTCTGGCACCTTTCGCCCACGGTAGAGTCACATCAAATTTATTTTTAAAAAAAAAGATCATTTTAAAAGAGCGAGAGGCTGAAAGTTAACGAGTCACAGGCATTGTCAGATTGTGGGTTCCTCTGACCTGTGTATCGTGACCAACGCTGCTGCTGCTCGTGGCCTCTCGCTTTGCCCAGCATGGGGAGGTGCTGCTCAAACTGCTGTCCTCTGCTGGTTCTTTTCCTCCCCAAGAGGCTGTTTAACTTGGAGGGGGCAGAGGGCACATGCACTGAAAACAGGATCAGTTTTATTCCCTCCTCTGCCTTTCTCTATGTTCGTCACTATCCCTCTTTCTCTCTTCTCCCCTTCGCCCCCCACCCCCCCGCCCCCGCCTTCCTTGGTATTTCCTTACATGTCCTGTCTCACAGTGCAGCCCCCGCCTCCCATACTGGGGAGTGAGGGTTGTAGTGATTATTCTTCCAGGGCTTTAATGTCAGTGGGATGTGCTGGTAAGTGTAACACATGTAAACCCTGGGATACCCATAGACTGGAGAAGGGAATAGCTGAGAGATCTAAAACAGTGGTTCTCAACCAGGGGTACATGTACCCCTGGGGGTAAGCAGAGATTTTTCCGGGGATACATCAACTCATCTAGATATTTACCTAGTGTTACAACAGGCTGCATAAAAAGCACTAGCAAAGTCAGTAGAAACTAAAGTTTCATACAGACAATGATCTGTATACGATACACTGAAACGTGTAAGCACAATATTTATATTCCAACTGATTTATTTTATAATTATATGGTAAACATGAGAAAGTGAGCCATTTGTCAGGAATAGTGGGCTGGGACACTTTTGTATTTTTAGATCTGATTTTGTAAGCAAGTAGTTTTTAAGTGAGGTGAAACTTGAGGGTACCCAAGACAAATCAGACTCCTGAAAGGGATATAGTCATCTGGAACGATTGAGAGCCACTGGAAAACACAGGTTTGAAATGCCCATGGTTTGTGGGGTCAGTTTGAAATCCCGGCAATGTGGCTCAGCCCTCAAATGAAATGAGTTCCAGGGAGTTTGCTGTACAAGACCATAATTACTAACCTTTGGCAGAATTTGATTTTTTTAAATATAATTTCAGCAGATTCTATCAATGTTTAATTTTAAGCATTTTTTATTTTTATCGATTTAAATTTTAGCAGTTGGACAAAATTATGAGGTTTCACCTTTTTTATCAATGTAAATGTTTACAGTTACAGGAAGGTATGTGGTCATCAAACATTGTGGGCAGGGGGGTCAGGCAGTAGTTACTTAATGACAGTAGATGTTAAGATTCAAAAGTTAACGCCTTATAACTTTGGAATACAAATTTTTAACAACACGTGTCAAAATATACAAAGTAGATATCCTTAAATCAAGCTCTCATAAGTTTTCAAGCAGCATTTTTCACACTTAACCTATTTGTAAAAATTGTTCATCAATTTCTATTACTGACATTTACTAATAACAAACCCAGCCTTCCAAGCCTAGTAATAACTGAGGTCTTATCTGCTCTGCATTGACATGCAGGATGGGGGCCTGATTTTCAGGGATGCTGAGCACCTGCAGCTCGCTTTGACTTCCGCTGGAGTTGTGGCTGCTTTTGAAAACCAGGCTCTGTGTCAACGTAATGCTATAACTCTTGTAATGAACCAAACCGGGCACTAGAGGTCACTGATTGAAAATGAAAAACAATCAGAAAATTCATTAGTACTCTGGAAATGAAAATAAAAATTAAAACTCAGAGAGAAAAGCTAACACATTACACAAAGATTAAAGGGGTTGAACCCCATCCTCCAATAAGATTTGGAGACTTCGAGAGAGAGAGAGAGAATCCATCACTTCCCATGGTAGTTTGTTCTGGTGGTTCATCACCACCACTGTTCAAAATGACAGGTTTCAGAGTAACAGCCGTGTTAGTCTGTATTCGCAAAAAGAAAAGGAGTACTTGTGGCACCTTAGAGACTAACCAGTTTATTTGAGCATGAGCTTTCGTAAGCTCATGCTCAAATAAATTGGTTAGTCTCTAAGGTGCCACAAGTACTCCTTTTCTTTTTGCTGTTCAAAATGTGTGCCTTATTTCTCATTTGAATTTGCACCAGCAAGCAAATCTTTAGGGACATTGCATCAACCCAGAGGGAGCAGAAGCTCTGGGGAGCTGAGATCCAGGACTTCTGAATTTTTATTCTAAAGTTTCTTTCCATTTTACTTCAACAGGAAAAAGAGAGAGAGAAGGAGAGACAACAAATAAATTGGTGGAAAGTAGTCAGACTTGTTCTGCAGTGACGTGCTTTCCCATCGCCACCCATGCTCTGCTCCCCAGATCGGAGCTGCCCTGCAACTTTTCAGTAGCTCCAACATTTGGATTGCAGGTAGGTGTCTGTGGTGAGTCTTGTAAGCCTACACCAGGCCTTGCACATCTGATAAAGGACATGCATAGTTCAGTGCAGGGAAATGTGCAGAGTGGGGTCCTGCTTTATGTAATGTACATTTTAAAGACGCATTGTTTTTTTAAAATGCACAGTTGGTGTGGTGTGCATGTGAGACTGACCTCATTCAATGCATGCCATGTCTCATTCATGGAACCCTTTCTGTCTGCCTATCTGGGTGTTTGTTTAGTACCTGAGTGGCTTGTATGATGTGCAGGTAGTGAGGCAAGGCTCCTCAATAGCTCTCATCTCATTCACTGCCCATCCTGTGAGGGACACAGAGAATGAGGCAGGGTTCTGTGTAAACCCCCTAAGGTAAAAAAATCACCTGGATGTTACTATGGCACAGAGGGAGTGTCTCCCTCCTATGGACCTTGTGAGGGACATGGTGGTGTGTGGCTTTTTCTCTGTTTTTTTAAAAGAAAAAACCCTAGGAAATTCCATTTAAAAAACTAAATGAGCGTTAAGTAGGCTTGGAAGAATTAGATTTTTATCAGTAAATGTTGATAAATGTCAATTTCATTGTACATACACAGACAAAGCAATATTTCCAATTATCACAATCAAAATCTACAAGGAGGCAAAGTAAGCAAAATGCTGCCTGAGAACTTATTAGAGTTTGATTTAGGGAGATTTACTTTATATATTTTGAAATGTGATATTGACAATTTATGTGTCAACAGTTCTAGAGCTTTCGCTCTTTGAATCTCTATGTCTACTGTTCTTAAATAACTATGGTCTGATACCCCGCATAATTTCCCGCAGCTGTGAAAATTGACATACATACACATTTAAAGGTTTCATAGTAGCAGCCGTGTTAGTCTATATGCACAAAAAGAAAAGGAGTACTAGTGGCACCTTAGAGACTAACCAATTTATTTGAGCATAAGCTTTCATGAGCTACAGCTCACTTCATCGTATGCATTCAGTGGAAAATACAGTGAGGAGATTTATATACACACAGAACATGAAAAAATGGGTGTTATCATACACACTGTAAGGAGAGTGATCACTTAAGATGAGCTATTACCAGCAGGAGAGCGGGGGGGCGGGTAGGGGGGGAGAAAACCTTTTGTAGTGATAATCAAGGTGGGCCATTTCCAGCAGTTAACAGGAACATCCGAGGAGCAGTGGGGGGTGTGGGAAATAAACATGGGGAAATAGTTTTACTTTATGTAATGACACATCCACTCCCAGTCTCTATTCAAGCCTAAGTTAATTGTATCCAGTTTGCAAATTAATTCCAATTCAGCAGTCTCTCGTTGGAGACTCGTTGGTCCAACCTCAGCCTGGACCAGTCCACATAAGAGATCCACTTCCTGGACATCACGGTGCTAATAAGCGATGGTCACATAAACACCACCCTATACCGGAAACCTACTGACCGCTATTCCTACCTGCATGCCTCCAGCTTTCACCCAGACCACACCACACGATCCATCGTCTACAGCCAAGCTCTGCGATACAACTGCATTTGCTCCAACCCCTCAGACAGAGACAAACACCTACAAGATCTCTATCAAGCATTCTTACAACTACAATACCCACCTGCCGAAGTGAAGAAACAAACTGACAGAGCCAGAAGAGTACCCAGAAGTCACCTACTACAGGACAGGCCCAACAAAGAAAATAACAGAACGCCACTAGCCATCACCTTCAGCCCCCAACTAAAACCTCTCCAACGCATCATCAAGGATCTACAACCTATCCTGAAGGATGACCCATCACTCTCACAAATCTTGGGAGACAGGCCAGTCCTTGCCTACAAACAGCCCCCAAACCTGAAGCAAATACTCACCAGCAACCACACACCACACAACAGAACCACTAACCCAGGAACCTGTCCTTGCAACAAAGCCCGTTGCAAACTGTATCCACATATCTATTCAGGAGACACCATCATAGGGCCTAATCACATCAGCCACACTATCGGGCTTGTTCACCTGCACATCTACCAATGGGATATATGCCATCATGTGCCAGCAATGCCCCTCTGCCATGTACATTGGTCAAACTGGACAGTCTTTACGTAAAAGAATAAATGGACACAAAGCAGATGTCAAGAATTATAACATTCATAAACCAGTCGGAGAACACTTCAATCTCTCTGGTCACTCGATTTCAGACCTAAAGGTCGCAATATTAGAACAAAAAGACTTCAAAAACAGACTCCAACGAGAGATTGCTGAATTGGAATTAATTTGCAAATTGGATACAATTAACTTAGGCTTGAAATAGACTGGGAGTGGATGGGTCATTACACAAAGTAAAACTATTTCCCCTGTTTATTTCCCCCCTTCTACTGTTCCTCAGACATTCTTGTCCATTGCTGGAAATGGCCCACCTTGATTATCACTACAAAAGGTTTTTTTTCCTCTCCTGCTGGTAATAGCTCATCTTAAGTGATCACTCTCCTTACAGTGTGTATGATAACACCCATTTTTTCATGTTCTGTGTGTATATAAATCTCCTCACTGTATTTTCCACTGAATGCATCCGCTGAAGTGAGCTGTAGCTCACGAAAGCTTATGCTCAAATAAATTGGTTAGTCTCTAAGGTGCCACTAGTACTCCTTTTCTTTATACACATTTAAAATGTTTCAAAATAAACACTGATATGATCCGTTTAAATTAGTAACAGTTCTGCTAAGCCTAGTGTTCAAGTTGCATGGGGAAGTACCCCAAAAGTAGGAAATATTTGCCTCTATTCATTTGATACAGTCTACAAATGCATGAACATGTGTTAGTTCCGACTAGACAATGTACACTGTTTTCTGCAGCCTAGAAAGAGCAGTGTATTAGGCTGTGGCTCTTAAGGACACCATTGTGTGTCTTGTATATAAATGCCTTTTGGACTCTTTCTGGCAGGCATAAATTATTACCCATGAGAATCTCAATGTTCTTTTAACATAATGTTTTCAGTGACGTCAGTATTAACATGCATCTGTGAGGGAAGTGTAGCTTAGTGTGAGATTATTATAAAGGAGGTCTTTGAGACGCATTCCTTGGTTCTGGAGATAAGAATAGCAGTACCTGATGGGCAGCTAAATAAATTTCTGCCTGTGAGCTTCTGCCCATGCTTAGGTCAGCCTGAAAGTTGTAAACCGTTTCAAAGAGTTTCCTGAGGCCGGAACTGTTCGGAACAGTCCATTGAGGAATAGCTCGTCACCCCCTACATATCCCAAAGTCTGTTCACTAGTGTGTGGGACCGTGAGGGTGACGTTACCTATCTAGTGTAAGTACTTACATGGCTCCTATTATTGTAGCATCTCAGCACTTTACAATCTTTAATGTATTTATTGTCACAACAACCAGTGAGGGGGAGGTAGGACAGGGCAATTATCCAAAATGAGGCAAACAGACACTAAGGGACTTGCCCAAGATCAGATGGGAAATCTGGGGCAGAGTAAGGAGTTGAACTTGGGTTGCCTAAGTAAGGACTTGAACCTGCACCTTCTTGCATACAAAGCAGAACACGTCCCCCATTCCGCCAAGCCCAGGAGATGGGGAGTCAGGTTGAATTTTGGGGACAAGTGATGGGTTGGGCCCATCCTTGGGGAGTGCTGAAGGGTACAGTTTGGCTTGCAGGGACATCTATGAATCTTTGCCCCTTTCTCCACATTGATCCTGACACTTGGTTGCCCCCAGGGGTGGTGAGTGGTGTGTAATTAGCACTTTGACAGCATTGCACATTTGCAAAGCACTGAACAAACATTAACGAATTAATCCTAATTAGCAAGTTGTGTTCCTGGTCCCTGCCAAAGGTGGGAGATGCCCATAAGCAAGTTCCTTGGGACAGGGACCATGTCTCTTCACGTGTCTGCGAAGCACCCAGCTCCTTAAGATCTTCCCAGGCAGGCAACAATAGTAATTCAGCCTCCCGCTGTGTGACATCTCCCTTATTCCTTTGCCTGCTGCATGCACAGAAAGGGACGGTGTCTCTTTAAGCTTGGGGAGCGCTGCCTTGCCTGAGTGAGGGTGGGTTCTGGTTACTGTGAAGAATCCCAGGTGACATGTGAGGCTAAGGGGCGGGGCTTCACCTGGCCCCCAGGTGAGAGTGATATGGGCTTCAGTTCCCTAATGTCTGTCTTTCTTCCTGCCTTGCCGTGGCTTAGGCTGTAGTAGGTTCTTCCTCTGCTGGCTCCTTTCATTCACCCACAATCTTGGAATGAAGCTGTTCCCTGAACAATGGGCCACCGAGGGTATAAGGCAGAGTGACTTCCTGGAGCAGGAAATGCCTGCAACGGTGATGCCGGTGAGTATAGCCGGGCTTGGGAAAGGACTCTTACTTTCTTCCTGTCTAGGTGTCCGGGGATGGGGCTGTGAGTCTCTGATTATCTCCAGACTGGCAGCCCCAGGGCAGGCATCCCCACCTGAATCATGACTTGGGAGGGGGAGCTCTCGAGGCCCCATTCAGCTGGGATCACTCCCTGTTGAGATTTGAGCAAATGTCTGAGACATCCCATACACGCACCTACTTTCACCTGAGCACCAAACTTTCCAGTTCTTCCTCTCCGGGTGTTGGCTGGGCTTGGCTTGAACTTGTGACCTAAAGGTGACAGGCTCTCATCAAAAGTCATGCAGTTCAGAGCTGCAAAGCTGGCTGTGTGTACTTAACTCCCCTTGCTGTTACATTTTGTAGCTCCTACCATAAGTAGGATTCTCTGGCACCCCCGTCCCCACTAGCCTGTAGCAGGCAGCTACAGATTCCAATCTTGGTCGGTTACACAGGTAGATTTGGAGTGATGACTCTATTTGCTTTAGCAGAGTTACTGAGATTGGAATCTGGCCCACTAATAGCCTTAGTTCGGGATTTCCTTGGAGGGATTTTGTGTGTGTTTAATCCCTGAAACATCTTTAAGATAGTGTATATTGCATATGGTTACAAAGAATCCGAGATCAAAAGGTTTAAGTAAGATCATTTATAATCTTAGGAGTGTAGCTTTATAGTGGTAGTCTTTCCTATTTTTGTGCTTCTAGTTCTATGGTAGTTTAGAATTACAATCCCCCAACAGAGGAGCGTAAAAACTCATAGACCATAAATCCTATCCAGATCTTGCCCATCCTTTGTCTGGAACAGGGTTTCCCGCACTTTGCGTGACTGATGTGGCGACACTGACAACTTGCCAGGTGCATAAAAGTTTCACCTAATGCAGGAAATGAAACAGTTTCCACCTGCCTTCTCCTTTAATACGAGGGAGAGACCTGTGGGTAATATAACTCCCAGAATGCAGTGCTCTCTCTTGATCTAAGTGAGCTGCACCAGACGCTCTCCACCCACTCATTTAGTCTGACTTGCTGCATGCATGCAGGAAAGACTGTGGCTGGTGTATTTCCCATACATCAGACGCAGTTGATACACCGTGGCCAGCACCTTGATGCCATTGAGCAGATGTGACTAATGTATGCGGCTCCCAGAGTGTCTGTGTAGGAGACTAGGAGTACTTGTGGCACCTTAGAGACTAACCAATTTATTTGAGCATGAGCTTTCGTGAGCCACAGCTCACTTCATCAGATGTGTACCGTGGAAACTGCAGCAGACTTTATATACACACAGAGAATATGAAACAATACCTCCTCCCACCCCACTGTCCTGCTGGTAATAGCTTATCTAAAGTGATCAGCAGGTGGGCCATTTCCAGCACAAATCCAGGTTTTCTCACCCTCCACCCCCCCACACAAATTCACTCTCCTGCTGGTGCTAGCCCATCCAAAGTGACAACTCTTTACATAATCAAGTCGGGCTATTTCCTGCATAGATATCTATGCAGGAAATAGCCCGACTTGATTATGTAAAGAGTTGTCACTTTGGATGGGCTAGCACCAGCAGGAGAGTGAATTTGTGTGGGGGGGTGGAGGGTGAGAAAACCTGGATTTGTGCTGGAAATGGCCCACCTGCTGATCACTTTAGATAAGCTATTACCAGCAGGACAGTGGGGTGGGAGGAGGTATTGTTTCATATTCTCTGTGTGTATATAAAGTCTGCTGCAGTTTCCACGGTACACATCTGATGAAGTGAGCTGTGGCTCACGAAAGCTCATGCTCAAATAAATTGGTTAGTCTCTAAGGTGCCACAAGTACTCCTTTTCTTTTTGCGAATACAGACTAACACGGCTGTTCCTCTGAAACCTGTGTAGGAGACTGAAATAGACAGAGCTCTCTTCCTCTTCTTGCCTTTGCAGCCCTCATGTGACTAAGCGTGTGGTGCTGTGGGTTTCGTGTGACAGGTGGGTTAGCAGCGCAGGGTCCACAGAGGCAAATACGATTTACTGCTCAGAGCTGCCATCCTGGGCCTTTTGGTTCTGTGCAGCTGGGTTTCCGTGGGACCCTGCCATGGGCATTAGTCATGTAAAGCTGGCCTATCTGAGGGAGCTGCAGGCTATGCTGGGGTGTGGCTACCCTTTCAGGTTTCTGGCAATTGCTCTTGTGTTGCTGCACCACAGAGAAAAGAAACAGGGCCCTGTCATCAGCACTGGTCCTATCACAAACAGCACAACTGCCTGCAGGGGGTACCATGTGGGTCAGCCCCATCTCCGCTCCTGATAAGGGGGCCGGGATGTGGAATGACAAACTCCTGATCCCACACCCTCTTCCCATACACATGTCCCCTGTTATCATGGCTAACGGCAACTCTCTGATCTCCTACCCCCCCCCCCCCCGCCGTCGTCTTTGGGGCACTCTTGCCTGCGGTCCTGCCCATTGCAGAGCCCTACTTGTGACTCAGTGCAGGCCTCCTGCTGAAAGGAACATGAGTGATCAGGGTTTTGCTGGGTGGTACCAAGTGATGTCACCCACCCAAGGGCGCTGGTTTAGCCGGCCCTAGTGTGTTTACCGAACACAGAGATGATAGCTATGGAATTGAGATAACTGCACAATAACACTATGAAACACAGAGTGCCAGCCTGGGTGTAATGAATATGCCACTCGGTGGCTCAGAATGGGCTCTGTCTGCCTCTCTTGTTAATAGGGCCAGGCCAAGAGCGCCAGTCTCCATCACCCACTTGTTAGATTTCAAAACAGACATCTTTGTGCGTTCTCTCACACTGCTCCACAAGCCTGCAAGGCCCTCCCTGTAAGGGCCCACAGACCGACCTCACTGTCTGCTTTCAAATCTCTCCACAAAACTCTCCTTTGCCGTGAGGCCTCCAAAAAGATGGCTGGTGTCCTGAGCCCACTGCCAATCACACAGAGCAGGATGGCCTCGTTATGCTCCCCTATCGGTCTGTCTGTCATCGCTTGTGTCAAGGTTCTTCCCCCACTCTGAACTCTAGGGTACAGATGTGGGGACCTGCATGAAAACCTCCTAAGCTTACTTTTACCAGCTTAGGTTAAAACTTCCCCAAGGTACAAATTAATTTTATCCTTTGTCCTTGGAATAACCGCTGCCACCACCAAACTCTAACTGGGTTTACTGGGAAACGTAGTTTGGACACGTCTTTCCCCCCAAAATCCTCCCAACCCTTGCACCCCACTTCCTGGGGAAGGTTTGGTAAAAATCCTCACCAATTTGCATAGGTGACCACAGACCCAAACCCTTGGATCTGAGAACAATGAAAGAGCATTCCGTTTTCTTACAAGAAGACTTTTAATAGAAATAGAAGTAAATAGGAGTAAAGGAATCACCCCTGTAAAATCAGGATGGTAGGTACCTTACAGGGTAATTAGATTCAAAACATAGAGAACCCCTCTAGGCAAAACCTTAAGTTACAAAAAAGACACACAGACAGAAATAGTCATTCTATTCAGCACAATTCTTTTCTCAGCCATTTCAAGAAATCATAATCTAACGCATACCTAGCTAGATTACTTACTAAAAGTTCTAAGACTCCATTCCTGGTCTATTCCTGGCAAAGCAGCATATCAACAGACACAGACCCTTTGTTTCTCTCCCTCCTCCCAGCTTTTGAAAGTATCTTGTCTCCTCATTGGTCATTTTGGTCAGGTGCCAGCGAGGTTACCTTTAGCTTCTTAACCCTTTACAGGTGAGCGGATTTTTCCTCTGGCCAGGAGGGATTTTAAAGGGGTTTACCCTTCCCTTTACATTTATGACAGCTTGTCTTTGACCGTGAGCTTTTCGGGGCACGGCCCATCGTTTTGTTCTGTGTCTGTACAGCGCTTAGCACAATGGAGTTCCTGCTTCTCGACCAAGAACATAAGAACAGCCGTACTGTGTCAGGCCAATGGTCCATCTCACCTAATATCTTGTCTCTGACAGTGGCCGGTGCCAGACTAGGGCTCCTAGGTGCTAAGATAATAAAAATAATCAATTCAAGGTGTTCAGAGAGATGGGACCCCCTTTCTCCCCTTATGAATTTCCCCTTGATACGATGCTTTTTAGACATTGTCTGTCCATGTCTGGAAGGCAGGCAGGTACAGCCTCTTACTAGAGTTCCGCTGGAAGTAGGTTCTCCCTGCTGACTATTTAAATTGTTTGTACAGAAATAGCAGGGGCCACATAATATAGAATAATACACGTATACTAAACGCACATGACTGCTCAAGCTATGAATGAGATGCTCTGTTCCATGACTAGACACTTTTATGGTCGCCATAGTATCTGAGCTCCTCATGTATTAATGAGTGAGTCTTCACAACACTCCTGTCGGGAGGGACGGGGGGCGGAGGGGAAGGGTCATAGAATATCAGGGTTGGAAGGGATCTCAGGAGGTCATCTAGTCCCACCCCCTGCTCAAAGCAGGACCAATCCCCAATTTTTGCCCCACATCCCAAATGGCCCCCTCAAGGATTGAACTCACAACCCTGGGTTTAGCAGGCCAGTGCTCAAACCACTGAGTGATCCCTCCCCCCATTGTCATCCTCCTTTTACAGGTGGGGATACTGATTGGCCCAAGGTATCACTGGAAGTCCCAGGAATAGAACCTAGATTTGCTGGGTCCCACTCCGGTACCTTAACCCTTAGTCCATTCTTCCTTCGTTAAACTGGCCGACCTGTCCTTAACACCACTGTGGCAGCTAGTACAGCCTTTTTTGGTAGGGTTGGGTGTCCAACGTCCTATGTGAAATGAGTCTGCCAGTCTGGGTCTCTGGCTGGCTTGTAGCAGACAACAGGGCTTCCGCATCAGAAAACCCACACTCCAAAAGCTGGCCCTGACTGATTTCCTCTTGTTAGCAGCCTCAGCGGAGGCCACGGGAACTGAAGTGGGGCTGTGGTCAGGGCTGCTGTTGCCCATGCAATACCTCTTCCGTGCATGAACAGAACTAAATGCTCATGGGAAGCAGCATGTGAGCCCAAAG